ATCAGTTGGTTACAATTTTTTTTCGTGCGTTTCTTTCACAGTCACCCATGATTCATATTAATGCTAGTATTTTAAATCAAGTATATTTGTACATATTACCATCATCCTACCCCATTCTCATTTGACTATAATTGTTTAAATGTCCATCATAAAACATATGAAAACTCAAGACATAAACACATACTGGCATCTCATTTGCTATTTCTAGTATCTCAATAACACTACTCCTTATGGCCTATTCTAGCTAAACATCAATAACATTTAGTAACAAAGGTTTCTAATCTTCCTTTCCAAATCACTGTTTACAATTTACATCCAATTTCCCCATGTTGTACCCATACCTATATATGCACATTGTTATCATTATCTCTCCTTTGTTTGACTTTATCCGTTATCATAATTTAGTTCTTTTTTATTAATCTTTATGTGAAACCAAAGCATTTCTCATCTCCCTTTCATAGGTACCGTTCAATTTTCATATCCAATTACTACTTGTTATACCAATACATATGGTATACGTTATTATCATTTTCAATTATTTAACCACATCTATTGTCACTCAATTTCACTAGGTCCAACTAGTTTTAGATTAAACTCTTTCATCTATCAGCCTGTATCTCTTTCCAGTAGCGAAACAGTCTCATGTCTTCTGCCATTTGCGGCATCAGTCCTCTTAATCGTCTCCTTAATCAAGTTTATATGGACTCTTCTTTGCAACTCCTTGTTTATTGATTCTCTCATGTAATTTCGATGCCCTTCTTCTTCTTTTTCCTTAATCAGCTTGTCTTTAATTGTCAGGGTTGTTATCGATAGTGTTACTAATAAAATTTCTCCCTTTAAGTCCCTAAGTTCTTTTATTTTTTCCTTCTTCCGTGTCTTGCCATCTAGGGCAGGGTTCCCATCCATCTGCTTCCCCTTTCCATACTCCACTTTTGCCATTTCCAGACAGAAACCATTCACCACAGATGTCAGCAGATTTAGTCTTTTTTTCTCTTTATTGCTTGGGGCTCTACCCTCTATTTTCCCCGTTTGATAAGCATCTCCATCCTTTTCATCATATTTTTCCGTTAGGTGCTCTAATTTTTCAAACCTTTTCTCAAATGTATCTGATGGTTTCTGTATTGCAAACATTATCTCTTGCAAGCTGACAGTTTCTCTCTATTGTTGGAAATAAGCCATTGTTTCCAGCTGTAGAAAACACTGCTGCTCTGACTTGGAAGATTTTTACAAGGTTACACCAAAGTTCACCATGAGATCCCTGGTTAAGGATGTTCTTCAAGGGAACATTCGTATAAAAACAAATGGTGCTTCTTATCACTTTCTATAAACAAACTGTGAGACTTTAAAGTTCCAGACCAGGATGATCAGCAGTGAAAGTAAAAGTATTTTGTTTTCAATACACAAGTGAGTAGCAGTGTTAGCTCTCCCTTTGTTGTTACAATTGTTGCAATTCTCTTTGTTCTTTTTGTATCTCTTAATATTCCAAGTCAAAAAAAACAGTCAAATTCTTACATGAAATAGAGAAGAAAGAGTAAAAGACACACGTGATTAATAAGGAGAAATTTGGTCCGTAGGTTGTGAAAATAATAGTACAAATTATAGAAGAAAACTTGATCCATTCATTTCAAACGGTTTACATAAATTCCATCCATGAAAACAACGTTTAAAAATTAAGATAACACACTGACCAAAACCATTCAAAGCTTAATTCCGCCACTTATTTCTTTTATTCTTAGATTTAAATTAGCTTTTAAGTTTTTTATAGGCAGTCTCTTTTAGAACGGATAAAAATTCCTCACCAGCTGTCAACACTTTCTCTTCCCTTTCCTCCCCATTTTGGAGCTGGTCAGCCTAGAGGCTGGACTTTTAAGGCCAGCTGAGAGACTTTCTCCTGGATCAATCAGGGACTTTGCGATGCCCCCGTGATCAGCAGAACGTCGTCTTCCCGTTCACCCATCTCTACGGGACGGTTGAGGTCCAATTGTACCACCCAGCCATAAAAGTATTGGCGGCGATCTCGGAGCATCGAGATCGGGCGACCGTTTCGTAGCGACGTGGGCTCCTCCTTTTTCCTCCCCCAGTCCTGTTGAGCCACAATGGGGCTGCCAAAGGTTTGCTTTTAATACATCACCAAGCGCACACAAGAACACGGTGGCCTTTGAGTTGAATTGAATTTATTGAATTTCTATGCCACCCTTTTCCCCAAAGGGGACTCTGGGCGGCTTACAATCCAAGTCAAGGGGGGGGGCGTATAAATAAGGAATAAAAAAGACGAACAGAACAATACACAATTTAAAAACACACAACAACCA